AGTCATTCGTATTCTTAGACGGTTAATATTGCTCGGTTTTTCGATGATTCACGCGGTTGTCGATCGCCTTAAAGATGTGCTAAACGAGTGCATCGATGGCCATGCGAAATAATTTATGCGCGGCATGAAGTAACGTTTATTAATAAGCGTACTTGACGGTGCACGGAGAAATTTTTTAATTGTCGCTCGGCCAATGTCGAACCATTTACGTCCACGTAATATATTCGATGTTGTGAAGCATCAACGTATGCACGAATGATTATAATAAACGATATAAGTTAAATTTGTTCGTTTATCAAATATATTTGGAAAAAATATCCCTTAGAATGACGTTGTTTCAGTATTTTTTTTTTTTTTTCTAATTTTCATATTCAAATCTTTTTTTAACGGTATATTTATATATTTTGGATAAAAAATTATTAAAGAGTTTATTAGAGAATAACAAATTAGATTTATCCAATTATTACTTCTTAATGATTTCATTTTTTTATATACGATTTGTATTGTACGGATTTATTGAAGTTATAATTACGAAAAAAAAAGATCTTTCGATTACAAATTATTCAACCAAAACCTTGAAATTATTCAAGCAAAAGTGAATGGAATTTTTTTTATTATTTTTTTATTTTATGACTCTTTCAAATTTAGAATGTCTGTACATTTAATTTTGCCATTTTCGTGCTGTAATAAAAAGGAAATTTTGAAAAATATTTTCTCGCTTTCACATTAAATCTACATCTCTTATATTATATTATAGAGAAAATGATTAAACCATCTGATTTAAATATAGAAGACACGAAGACACGACCTCAAACTGACCTCGTTATCAGATTTAAATGGACCAATCGTTCAAAATTTTATCGTTCTCATAAATTAATCAATTGCCAGGTCGCGATCAAAAATTTGTTACCTATCAAATGGGGCACTATCTCGTAATCAATCTTCGAAATAACTTTCCATCTCTCGTCGTTTCCAGATTAGAAACATTCATTTTTGTAACGGGCACAATTTAATCTTCCATCATCAAATTTTTCTTCCTTCGCAGAAAATTATATTTAAGATATATTTTTGATACTTTAAACTTTTTGTTCAAAAATTTTTTCGTAAAATATAAATTTTAGAATTTTTCTATCCAAGTTTCAAAATTTTCAAATATCTCAAGATTCGTACACTATCCCTCTCTATACCAAGTAAACATTGTTCATCAATAATAACAAACAATAAGAAAATGCGAATTAAATAACAAAACTTCGAACAACATTTTCTGAATGTCGGAACTTAAAGAAAAAAATCGAACGCTCAATTTCTCGAGGAAAGGGTTTGTCAGTCCGTGGTTTTGAATGTCGTGATGTGTACGCGTGCGAGCCGCGTCAGCCGGGCGGTTTCTTCTCTCCTTTGCCTCCTCTGCCCGATTAAAATTGAGAACTACGCGGAGCAAACGCTGCGACACCTGCACAAATCTACATACTGGATCGACGGGTGTGCGTCTAACCCGTCCTCGCGGGCAGATATACGCGAGGCGTTGCCTCGACGCGTGTCCACGTGTGCACGCGCGCCGCCACTTTCAAATCGCTCGACCTTGCCGCTCGATCGGCGAGTTTCTCGAACGATCCCGCACGAGCTCCAGCCGAGGGTTGGCCAATCAACGTAGAAAATCGCGTATAACAAGAATGAAATTAAAATATGTCGAGATAAAGATATGACAAGAAAATTTAACATTTATCATCGTTGATCTTTGAAAAATCTATGAAAGGAGTCTTCAATATCATTAAGATTCCGTGGATTTTTCTAAAATTTATTATTCCAAAAAGTTGTGTTTTTAAACAAGTATCGAAAGTAATGGTATTTCGTGGTATTCCTTGTTCGAAAGAAAGAAAGAAAAAAATGGTTTTTAGAACGTATGCAATTTGCGAACGTGACAATCTGTCTCAAGTCAACGAACTCCATACACCGTGCGCACACGTTTGATGCGCGCGAAGAATACAATACGCCAGTCGAACGAGAGTGTGCACGGTAAATCAAGCGACGAGTAGTTTTCATGGCTCGTTGTTCCATCGATTTTCCCTCTCGCGGCCTGTTTTTGGAAAAACCGTCCAATCCGGATTTCTCCGCAAAACATTCGCGCATGACACGGCCGCAATTCACACAATCCATCATCCACACCGCGAAGAATCCGTTTCCGGGACGTAGTCTTTTTAATTACACACCGCGCGATCAATCGACTGCCTATCGAAACTGAAGTTTGCGCCAGCCGGATGTTTCGCTCGATTTTTAAAATAAAATTATTACTCGGTTCGGAAAGAGACCGCATTCAGCTCTTTCCAATATTCGAATATCATTTTTCGACGGTGAGTTTGTTCTATTCTTTAGAGTCCTTTGATAAAGAAAAAAAAAAGAAAGAAAGAAAGAAAAAAAGGAAAGACGAGAGAATGATGAGAATGAAGTCATCACGATTTTTGTATGGCTTCTTCGATGTTTGAAAGTGTCAGTATCTGTCAGACGAAACGTTGAAACAAATGATATCTTTCATCTTTTCGAAGTGTGAAAATTATCGGTAAATTGTTTTTTTTATTTTTTTTTTTTTTTTTTTTTTTTTTACTTTTAAATTTACTCGCTTTTATGAGTCATCCGATAACGATTCGTATTTCAAACTAGATGTTAGAAATATTTGAATCGAAGTTTATTACAGATCATTCTAATATTAAAAGCAATGAATTAATTATCTGAATTAAATTTTAAATATGACGTATATAAGATATATATTTTCTGAACAAACATGAAACACGTTATTAAAAAACAATGTTATTAATAGTATCATAATACCTATTAATACGAAAACTAGGAAAGCAATTAATGTTTTATGAATTATAAAATTGAATTCGAAATAACTCGTTCCAGGAAAAAGCAGTTAAAAACGAGTTCTTTTTAAACAAATTACCCTACCTTTGTTCGAACAACAAATCCGACTTGAAAGAATCTTTTGATCGTCGAACAAACGTGTACACACAGCCGGTCGAACAGCGAGGAAAAATGGAAAAACCCGATAAGAAAGAGAAGGAAATCGCATTCATATTAATGAAACAAATATGCATATAAGCCCGACGCGGCGCATGCGCGTTAATTTTTGTTTGAACGGTATTCAGAGGCTCGGACTATTCATTATTTCCGTTTGTTATCGCCGAAAAACGCGGCGTGAGGTTGAAATCATTTTAATTTCGGCCGCGGGTGATTCTGTTCGTTCCGTGTAAACGCGTAATTAGCTATCGATCGGCGTCGATGAAAAGAGAGTGGATGGAAGAGGGAAGGGGTAAAAAAAAAAAGAAAAAAAGAGGAGAGAAAGAGAGAGATGAAACAACCGATAGCCGGTGCGGTAGCCATCGTGGTTTTCTATCGAATAATATCCAAAAACGGTGCACGCGTGTGTTTACGGTTTTCCCCAAATTAATGCTCGCCACCAAAGCATCGCGACTCGCGCCAATTAGCTACACTCGTGTACGTAGCTGCACGCGCCTCCATGCCCATTAATCGTAGAAGAAAATGCATGATTTTTCAATTAATCCCTGCGCCACGATCGTTGGATTGCTTTTTTTCTCCCCTTTCCTCGTTTTTTGAAAATGGAACGATCGCCGAACCGAGTTTCTAGATCGTGGATAGAACAGAATAATTTTGATTATCACGTTCGATATATTGCAATCGTACAAACGTGTAATTATTCTAACAAATGACTAAAGAAAAACTACGAAACATGAAACGATCCTTTCGAAAACATTACTTCTAAATCTGTATCTACTAATCTATGAACAATCCATTTCTTAAAATGTAAAGATAAATCACAATCTTAATAAGAATCCTCGCCATATATATATATATATATATACGAAACTTAAAGAGAAACGGGGTTCTCATATTTAAAATCAAGGAACACCGTCATACATGAAACTTAACGAGAAACGGGGTTCTCACACTTAAAATCAGGGAAACATCTTCGAAAGTTTTCCTTCTTTATTGAAAATCAAATAGAAAACACAATTTTTCAAATATTTTTTATTTAACCATACCCTCTTTCCACAAACGAATCTTAATAGAAGACGGGGTCCTCACACTTAAGATCACGGAAATCGTCCTCGAACGGATTCCTCTTTCGAGATACGCCCGAAACGAAGGGACAAAGAGCGGCGGTCTGGCGCTGGATCGATTTAACCGGAGTCGATTACGATTCAACGGCACGTCCTGGCACGCGGGGCCCTCCCACGCGTTCCATCCAACCCGAATCCGACTCGCGTTCGGCCGCGGGCGCATCTGACGATCCGCGCTGGTGATCGTGGGTGCAGGTGCAGAGCTCGGCCGCGTAGCTCACCGGCGGAAAGAAGATCGAGAACGATCGAAAGCGAGCGGAACATGGCCTCTCCCTACCGATCCACCGATCCATGAAGAGCCATGGACGCGAGAAGCGTTGTAAATCTCCGTCATGCCCCATAAATCCCACCCCCGATATTGCTGTCCTCGGTTACGTGCGCCTGCACATACGCGCGCCGATCCTTTTGTTACCACTGTAGTTGGAATCCCTGTTGAGGAGGAGAGGACGGGAATAAAGAGGAAATGGTTAGGAACAGGACGGGGCAGATAAACAGCCTCTCGATCCCTTGATGGACACGCTCTGGAAATTTACTTACCGTCTTCCAGGGATCGGTCGAGTGTTTTTTTTTCTTTTCTTTTTTTTTTTTTGGAGTGTAAGACCTTTCGCAGAAGAAATATTCCGATGTTTTCTATTCCAGTTCGTTTCTTCAGAGATCAGTATCTTCGGTGTGTTTCGATTTTTGATTTTTAATTTTTTCGTCGAAAAGAATAGGAGATTAGATAAATATGTTGATACATTGAATTTTTGATTGAAATGGCTCGCAATGCTTGGAAATTTTCGGTGTTTCTCTGTTTTAAGAGGACACCACTTACAACCGAAAGCGTCAATGATGGAAGATTGGATGTAGGTGTAACAGTGACACGGGCACTATAATTTTGTCATTTTGGAATCATCTGGGATAAGCGTCTATTGTAAATTATCGAATATAATATTCTGTTATTAAACTTGTTATCGTTTTGCAAAGTGTAATAAGAATCTATTTCGGATTAAACGTTATTTTATATTATTATGAAAGTTTAATGAATCGTAAGTTTCGAAATAAAATTTCGATTATAATTATAATTAAAATTTAATTTGAAGTTAAAGTCTTATTTTTCAAAGAGAGAGAGAGAGAGAGAGAGAGAGAGAGAGAGAGAGAGAGAGAGAA